GCTCGTTTCATCCTTCATTTGATTCAGTCTAAGTATTGTCTACAATTGTGTAATAAGTAATTCCTGTGTCGTAGCGTCGTAGCGTGAAAAGTGGCCTAGTGTGTCACCGTTACAGCTCAAGTAAATGTCTCTCGTCGTGGTATGCGCGAATTTTTTTTTCTAGAAATATGTTCAGTGCTTAATATAATTTCTCAGTGTTCCCCGCGTTCTGTGAAGTTCTGCGTATCCCAAGTGCATTTTAATTGTCGGTCAGTGTTAAATGTACCCATTGTGTTTTAGAGATAGAAGCGGTGTCTGTACTAACTGTTATAACTTAACATGTCTTTTAACCTACATCCTCCTCCCTGTCCTAACCCTCACCTCACCCTCCGTACCCATCCGTTCCCGCCTCGCTCCGCCCTGCCCTGCCCTACCCCGCTCCGCTCCGCCCCGCCCCGCCCCGCAAAGCCCCGGCCTGGCCCGATCAACCACGCCCCGGCTCCCCCCACCTCACCCGCCACGCCTCGCCCCACCCCGCCCCGCGCCGCGCCGGCCTGGCCAGCCGCGCCCCGCAGCCACGCACCGTCCAGTGTGACCACCAATCCCCATATGTTTTGTCCTGTGAGTTATGCTTCGAAATCGGTGGTTAGTGTTACTTAATATTGCGATAATTACAGAGCTTTACTCAGTGTGTTTTTATGCTAGTATGATTTGTAATGTACTCTTTGACGCGTAGTGATAAATAATATTCAATGTAGTGAGCAGAGCTTCACTCCCCGACCCAGCCTAATGAGAAAATTGTCGTGACGGAAATAATAGTTACCAAACATTGACGTAACGTATAAAGTAAATATTTGTTTTTTTTTGCGAATGCACTTCCAACTAATCCATCATCCCTTTAGGATTGTTTCTCTGGCAAATATCACACACAGTACCGCCCCATGGCTAGCCGGAATCCGACCACAGCACATATAAGAAGAGAAGTAGCAGCGTGAGGAATGCAGCACCACACCCGCCACACACCACCCCACTTCTTTCAAGTCCTACCTGGTCTAGGATTAAGAAGAGTTTATATTTTTCTACTAGGAAGTTAAGGAGTGTGGAATGAAGTGCCACACAACGAACCCTGGTGAGCCCAGCCAGGGAGGGATTCACCACTGTGGAAGGTGTAAGACAGGACGGTCCTTGGTCTCGCCGACACTCACGTACGGAGGGCGAGGCCTGGTCCGCGGAACCTGCCTTACGAGTTATCTAAGGAGACGACAGCCCAAACAGTGGACCGGCTTTCATCCCGGCCGGAGAGGGCCGACGGCAGATGAACAGAAAATCGTCTGGAATATGTTGAAAAAGAAGATGTATAAAGAAATACAGATGGAGCAGAAAAATTCATCTGGAATATGACGGAAAACGAAGATGTATAAAGAAACGCAGATGAGCAGAAAAATCGTCTGGAATATGAAAATGAAGATGTATAAAGAAACGCAGATGAACAGAAAATTCATCTGGAATATGAAAATGCTCTAAACATAGAGGAAGCGCAGGTGAACAGAAAAATCATCTGGAATATTATAGAAACCAGGAGGAAGTGAGAAGAAGTCAGATGTGGTGACACGACCTACAAAGTGCGGTATTGAAGAAGGAAAAACGTGCTATGTGAAGACAGAAGAGACGCTGTGCTGACATCAGAAGAAAGTCGACGATGAAAAGGTGGATAATCAGAAGGACCAATCGACTACCGTTGTTGTGCTGCCAGCATTCCTTATTTTCAGATACCAGCTGGATGGAGGACTTGAGCCATGCTGAACCCAACAAATGTACTGATGTTGTTGATGTTGCTGATGTGTAATAAAAAGATATAACACCCTAACATGTGAAGTAGGAGCATTTTGTATTTTGTATTTAATTCTCTGATTTTTGTTAACATGTACTACAAAGAATGTTTTTTTAAAAAGATTAGTCACTTTTTCTATGAGTTCATTTGATCAATGTTTTGTATTACCAAACACAATGTTGTAGCCATTTACTGATTGAGATGAATTATTATTTTGACACGGCCTGGTTAGGCAATGTAACACCTGTTTTTGTTTGTAGAATGTGATTTGCAAGTTTACCTCGGACACTATGCTAGATATGAAGGATCTTTAGATCACTCTATGTTCACTTACTGTGTATGTATTTTATTTTTTTCTCCTGTCATAGAAGCTTTAATCTTGGCGGGAGGTATAGTAAGCTTTGTCAGATCAAACTATGCCAGTAGAAAAACATACATCTCTAATGTTATAATTTATAAATGTAAGGATGCATTATCGCCTCAGGGACTATATTAGATACTGCACATGATGTTACTGTCTACTTTAAATGTGTCATCAGTTCTCTGAGCATGTAAGCTTTGGTCTTGGCGGGAGGTGTAGTGAGGGGTTGTCAGACCACAGCTTACATCGCGAGGAAAGCCAGACTTGACCCGACATTAGCCGAGGTCGAAAGTCAAGTGTAACTCTGCGGTTGACCAAGGATTGTAAATCAGCCTAGCTCCCCTCCCATGTGACATGTGGCCCCAACAAAACATGTAAGAAGGCACCAGCCGACCCTCTTCCAATATACAATAACCTACTCTCTGAACAAAGGCCGGACCTGACCTCACAATTAGCCAGGTCAAATGTAACCCTTGGAGCCCAACTCAAGGGGCCACAAATCAACCAGGGCCTCTCGTGTCACACGGCCCCACCTGATGACTTCTCCTTACATCTCAGAAACTCCAGTCTGACCCGACGTTTGGGAAGTCAAGTGTAGGGGAACTCTCACGGTTGCTCTCCCAATATACACACGGCCCCACCTGATGACTTTCCCAGATAGTTCTGAAAAAGTCCAGGCCTGACCGCACATTTGCGGGGTCAAATGTAAAGAGACCCTTCGCCGCCCCCCAGGCCAGCTGAACCTGACGGCTCGCATCCCAATATATAGGACGTCCTGGTCCTCCCTCGGGATTCGCAGAGAAGTAGTTGTCTTGTAACAAGGTGGCCAGCTACTACACCACCAGGCCTGCTCGAGCCGAAGTCAGAGGCCGGAGGCAAGTCGCCTCCGGTCAGGACCGAGACTTCCCTCCGGTGTCCCAGCTAAGCAGTCGCCCACCCGACACCAGTGTCCCCGCTAAGCAGTCGCCCTCCCGATACCAGTGTCCCAGCTAAGCAGTCGCCCTCCCGACACCAGTGTTCCAGCTAAGCAGTCTCCCTGCTAGGCCTCCCCTAGGTCACGTGAGTGTTTGTCAGAGCTTTCCATGGGATGAGTTACCTACGTGGGAAGTGTATTCATTTCATGTTCGTGTCCGAGAATCAGAGTGTCTAGTAACGTAATATGATGTCCTAGTAACGTAAATATAATGTCCTAGTAACTTCAATAGAAGGTGTTATTAATGTGTCCATGTCATGTTCGTGATTAATAAACAGTTGTAACGAAGCAGTGTTTGAGAAGTCGCCTTTAGGAACGTAATAGATGTGTATTGACGTATAAGATACGATAAGTGTACGATAAGAGTAAATAACTATCATGGCCACGCTACCAAAGTCTTCCTCTCTTTATACTCTTATACTATCAATATTCTACTTATATGTAATCTTCTTCTTGTGAATATTTTGTAGTATTACAGGAAGTGTGCATCTGTTGGGGTGATATAATTTTATTGAGTGCCCTTAAGGCCTATTCATTGTAGAGTATTTAATTTCTTATTTTTTAATACCATTTCCTAAGTGACTGATATTATTTTGTGAAAGCCCTTAAGGCCTGTTTCATGTGTGCAAGCAACATTTCTTAAGACTTCAAATTTATTGTTGCCTGAGTTTCTAATAATTTCTATATCATGTATAACTTTTATTCCCCAGAGTAGTGTTTTAAGTTCAAGTTAAGAGGTGCGCATATTGGTGTACCATTATTTGATTGTGTTTGTAGTGTTGGAGGGAATATAAGTGTCTAAATTTTACAGTGTGTCTCATTCATCCCAGTCACAGACGCTATCCTTCCACGGGTCACGGACAATTCATTTTGTTTAGTAGATTTAAGTGTTCTTGTGCTGGTTCGGGATTTTTCTCAAAGGGGCGCTTCCACTGCCATTACCATCTTATAATCTTTAATAAACCCCAAGTCAAGTGAGAAAATAAAGTCCAGTAAATTCCGACCGGTTACATATATATATATATATATATATATATATATATATATATATATATATATATATATATATATATATATATATATATATATATATATATATATATATATATATATATATATATATATATACTTCATTTTTAGTCCATATAACACACGGACTTTGAACATATAATCAACGACCTCACCAGCCAGGAATCGAACCCTCGACCTACTGGGTGGGACTAGGGAACGCTACCGACCAATCCACAAGGACACTAAAAGCAGTCCTAGACTCTGTTATATTTCACACAAAGCCTGTTCATCAAGCTGATGGCGCCGTGAACCTCATTGTGAACCTCATTATATGTTCAAAGTCCGCGTGTTATATGGACTAAAAATGAAGTATATATATGGTACCTCGTGTTTCATACCAGCTGGATTCGGTAAAATGTTACTGACCCCACATACGAGGCACGGGCAGTTTCCCAATGAGGCGCCATCAGCTCGATGAACAGGCTTTGTGTGAAATATAACAGAGTCTAGGACTGCTTTTAGTGTCCTTGTGGGTTGGTCGGTAGCGTTCCCTAGTCCCACCCAGTAGGTCGAGGGTTTGATTCCTGGCTGGTGAGGTCGTTGATTTTATATATATATATATATATATATATATATATATATATATATATATATATATATATATATATATATATATATATATATATATATATATATATATATATATATATATATATATATATATATATATATATATATATATAGTCAATATATAGTTATTGCTAAATTGTTAAACCATCATTTAGTGAAATAACTTCCTTTATATAATATAGCGTATCATTCACTGTGTATAGTCGGTACATTACCTTGCTGCTTCTTGCACATGTAGTGGAACATGTTGGTGATCTTCTGCACAACCCAGCGACCATTCTCGTCATTCTCGTCGATAACAGCAGCACCGTAGCCGTGTAAAGATCTGTATTAGAAACTAACGTCAGAATACAATTTAACTGCGAGTGGCATGCCACAAACTCAATATTGCCTGTATTCAGTATTACTGGTAGTAACTTCCCATACACACATTAATGCTCTTATGCAATATTACTAATACTGACCCGCCACAATAACGTCTATATACGATATTTCTTCAAGTGAACTAATCATGAGCATTACCTTTAAGAAACAAGTGGACTGTAATAACACATTAGTCATATCGTCGAGCTTCCCCTTGCTCTTTTTAGTTACCCCCCCCCCCCCCAAAAAAGATTATAAAAATAAAAATACAGTTTTCATTTCCACCACCTATGCACCATGGACAAGTAATAGTGTGTGACTCGAGCCAACACAAAAAGGTAGTGCATAGTGGTTTTGCAGTGAATGCAGCTGTGAGAGCTGCATTAAAAAATAAAATCCTGAAACAATACTCGTCCTGACTACAGGGTATACGCGTAGATATCATTGACAGGAAATAAGAAAAAGGAACAAAAACTTAGCAGGGAATACAACATTCCAGAACATATTCATAAGTCCAGCTCACAGGGTACGGTACAAAGAACTCCTGATGAACTTGAAGCAAAAGCTATATTAGTGCATGATAAATATGGAGGACCCTGCGACCCCCCACCCAATTGGAGGCGCACATCATATAAATAATTATTTATCTGCCAAATGAAGGGAGGTCAGATCTACAACCTAGTTCGAAGTCACGACAGAGGAGTCTTTCCTGCTAGAAAGTCATGTACACAAACATTGACACTTTCCTCGACAAGAGAGTGGAGTTTAAACTCTACAGTTCACAAGACATTATCAACATGATTTACAGTACAGTATTAGGTGTTGTGGAATTGTTGTACAAGAACAGAACGATCAACCAGGAGGGTTATGAGTTTAATACACTGAAGATGTTTATTTGTAAACCTTCTCAGGCAACCTGTAAGAGGAACGTGCTAATTTATGCTAAGGGCCCTCGAGTCAGTCAGGTGAGGGCGCAAGGGGATGATGTTTTTGAAGAATCGAAGTTGACTTAAATGAACCTGAACAGAAGAGACTTACTCACTGTTGGATATATCTATAGATCCCTGAATTGCAGCTTATTAAACAAGACAACGTAATGGCGCTCAACTCGGTCACCTTCTTGGAATGGGGGACTTCAACTATGGTGACATGGACTGAAGGAATGGAAATGCACCAAATTACCTAAATAATCCAGCAACTATTTTTGTAGAAACTCTAAGAAGCAATTAATTATTGCAACATGTTAACGATCCTGCTCACTTTTGAGAGGAACAAACACCAAAACCGTTGGATCTCATTATAACTAAGCAGGAGGGTATGGTGGCCAAATTGATATATTTAGCCCCTGTTGACACGTGATGTTATCCTCCACATTTAACTGTTACTTGGTACATGATGAGAGGAGGCCAATATTCACATGTTACAATGGTGAACACAACAGGACAAGGGAGGAAATCAATGAAATAAAGGGTGTACACTGCTCCGAGTCGTTGAGAAATAAGAACGCAAATACTACACTAAATATTATAGACAGCAAAGTGAACTATTTGATAGATAAAAATATACCCAAGACCCAACCCACTGGTCCCAGAACTACAAGGAGATCGTTAAATTTGAGCCATGTGGCTGGTGACAAAGTAAAGAAAAATCTCAGAATTTCAAGAGATGGGTGGTTACAAATGATGAGTTGGACAGAAGGCTCCAGGAACCAAACCAAGTCAGAGTGTAGAAGGGATGAAAAAGAGTTCCAGAGGCCGATTATAAACAAGTTGAGGTCAAACTTAGCTATTTATATCATAAAGCAAAATCGAAAATAAAAACACATTTGGGGGTATCATATCTGGGACTTGAAAATGGTAGCTATTTAGACTCAGACCAGGAATAGGCAGATGCAAAAAACCTCCCTGTGTCTGAAGAAAAACAGTTTGACAGCGCTGATGCACATTATGTTCTCAGAAGAGTGTATTAGAATCGAATTGTCAAAACTAAAGTTTCATAAGCGCCCTGGCTCTGATAGTATGCATCCCAGAGCATTAAGAGAGTTATGATACGAGCTTTCTGATCCCCTTAAAATCGTATTTTGCAGATGCGTGGATGAACAAAAGGTCCCTAGCGACTGGAAATAACATATGTGAGCCCTATATTTAGACAGGGAGATCGCTACTGCTTTAAAAATTATAGGCCAGTGAGATTGTCCAGCATAGTGTACAAAGAGCATGATACGAGATGCCATGATGGAACACTTAGTATGGAATAACCTTGCAATGAAATGTCAAAACGGTATTAAGCTTGGCAATTACTTAAGGTACTGGACCTTGGGGACAATATTGATAGTATACTGTATATCTAGACTTTACCGAGGATTTCGACAGATACCTCATAAAAGGCTGCAAATTAAACCGAAAATGTATGGTATTTGGTGGAGAGGTCTAGAGTTCGTCAAAGACTTTCTCCATAACCACAAGTAGTGTGTGGTGATTAACGGCACGAAATCGTCATGTTTATCCGTGAAAAGCAGGGTACCACAGAAGCGTGAACTGGAATAATTGTTATTTGTTTGTTTTATAAATTGTATGCCAGATGATATACACTCGTCCTAACAAATATTTACCGACGATTATATTTTTTTCAGGAAAATTAAGAGCCAAACGGACTGTGAAACGCTACAAGATCTTTGTCATCTTCATGGGTGCGTATTAGCCTCTGTTTATATAATTCCATCTCCCACATAACTCGAATATGAGCAGTGAGTAGTCATAATTGTACATGTGACAGTGTTATTCCACTGAGTTCCCCCAGCACCTTGAATGCATGGGTCAGCAATTAAGTAGCCAGCTTCTTTCAGTCTGTACCAGTCTTTCACCCACGTCAAACGTTGTTCACGAAGTTCGTTACACATACGCTTCTTGCTTTATTAACGCTCACAGCTCATAGCGTTAATTACGGTGATATCCTAGTTACTGTGAAATAGTTTATTTTCTTTACAAATGGAGAAAAGAACATTTGGGTTTGAAAACTTACCCATAAACATTTATTATATTACTTCTAGTGTACCTTTAATACTGACTCTATTGAATCTTCATCAGTGATTACAACAGGTTAACCACGGTAACATTAGGTGGCATCTCAATAGATCAGTGTTTTATATAAAAAAAAAACCTGACATTCATTGGTCAGCACTTTACAATGTTCTCCATTTTGCACATGTGATATCTTCCTTCTTGAGAGACTCATACAATTTTATGCTTGTTTGAGTTCCATTTCAAAGTACAAGTTAAAATGTTTTTGTTTTTTATAAGTGATTTAATACATTTTATCACTTTCCGTATATGTGGCACCACTGTACGAAGCAGCATTACTGCACCCCAGAACATCTTAGCAACCTGCCTTCAAGAAGCTCTCACGACCGATTTCAGCTACTGGGCATTTGCTCCCAGCACAGCAGCAGCCTCAACGCCTACCCCAGCACCAGGCCCCCAGCGAGTGCTTACCCAACCTCTGTAACACACAACATATGTTGTTTTGATTCGTCGACACCTGCCTCAGTGCCCTCTTGAACCCTGATCAACAACTTTTTTTTTTGGCACCCCCCTACATCCTTGTGTAAGGTGAAGCGCAGAAGCGTTTACAGTGCCCAACAGGGAAGCATGCTAAGTTCATGATCGCCTTTATGTCTCATGAGTTAAGAGCGTAGAAGCCTGAAGAGTCAATGGTTTATGTCTAAGCAAATTATTGGAAGCTCCAACAACTCTCCCTAAAAACGAATTCGCAACTTTCGATTTACACCAGGTACCTATTTTACTGCTAGGTGAACAGGGACCAATTGGGGCTGGGAAGTATGTCCAAACAACTTTTCCACCGACCCGGGAATCGAACCCGTGACATCTCGCTTGCGAGGCAAGAGCGATACCGTTCTACCAACCGGCGCCACCATCAACAACTTGCAGTGGCTGAACCCAGTTGTGTGTGACCCACCATGTGAACCAGTGCACCCGGGTTACATGGGACGGTTATCTTAGACATCAATTAGATCATCAGATCAACCACTCCCTTACAACTATTACCCCATTAATGCTACCTTGGACACGTCATCGATGCCATATTTGAAACGTCACTCCAACGTCATTGTAAGATGCTATCTTGAATTTTCGCTTTTATGGGCAAAGAGTGACTGTAACCTTCTTCTCACCAGCTGCGAGGCTGTACCATGTAGAACTCCACGGACCCACCTACTAGAACTCGAGACTTCACTCAGTCGTCTTTTTAGGTAATTCACAAACCTGCATTAGTTTTTACACACAGTTAACATATTCTACAGCATGCCATCACACGTCAGACGTCGTGATAGGCTAGTTTTTAATTTGTAAGTGTCTTACTTTGTTTATTACTAGCATAATATTATTTTGTTGTGTTTTTCGTTGCTTTCATTCATGTAATGTAATTGGATGGGCAAGGTTATTGTTTAAGAATAATATTGTATTTTTTGCATTATCATTTATGGATAATTTATTTCATTTACCTGGTTCAGACAGTGTGCAATAAGTGGAAGATTACAATAGTGACTAATCAATCAGAAAACACAGTACCTACTGACGCAGAGCCCCCTACTGGAGCTGTCATTGATACTGTTCATTCGGAAGATTTGCATGGAATACAAATTCATTAATAAGAAAAAACACTTCCATGAAGAGTAGTGAAATATTAATCGATCAATCATATGGCAATTTACACCATACCCAACTTGGGTCACGTCGTACATACGACACCACACCTCATTACGGTTCTGTTCCATCTATTTCACACCAAAGTCCAGTGTGTCAGAACATCTTACTTTACCTCCCACATCCTCTAATCCTCCAGTCACATCTCAGTTGTCTATGTTCATGTGAGGATGTTATGCAGAACATTGCAAGCACGGCAGATGAAGATCGCTAGGCTTTTATACGCGGTCATATAAAACAA